GCCACAACGCCCAGCTATTTTTTTTTCTTCTGCAGTTGTCATTGTTGTTTTAGCAGGCCTGGGCTGGGTTTGAACCTGCCAGCCTCAGTGTCTATGGCTGGTGCCCTACCCACTGAGCTACGGGAGCCACCTTAGTGGAACCTTCTTATACCACATAGTCTAGAGTTAAGACTTGAATTTCCAACAAAGAGTTGAGTGGGTGCTGGTTTATCAATACTTGATAACCCAAAATGATTCCATTATTTTTCTGACTTAAATCTCAGCTGACAATTTTATTTATTTATTTTTATTTGTATATATTTATGAAGTACAAGTGCAGTTTTGCTATGTTAATATATTGCATTAAGGTGAAGTCAGGGTGCTTTCCATTTAAGTGGATATTTACAAAAAGGAAACTAGGAGAAAGCATAAAAATTATCAAACCTGTAGCCATAATTGAAATCTGAAAGCATGGGGCTGTAACCTGACACCACATCCTAGAATATGGCATTGTGATGTGTCTCAGTCACCATCAGGGGGGACTGTGGGTTGCTTGCAGTTCTGTTTGCTATTCCAGAAAGCAGGTTTATAGGAACATGAGACATTATATATAGCAGAGAGCAGATTTTAGGTATAAATTCAAATTATTGGGGCTTACTCTTGACAGGGCTCAGAAATTTTTATTATTAAAAGTTGAAGGGCCAGTGTGGTGGCTCATACCTGTAACCCTAGCACTCTGGGAGGCCGAGGTGGGAGTTTGATACCAACCTGAGCAAGAGGGAGACCCTGTGTCTATTAAAAATAGAAAAATTAGGCTCGGCGCCTATAGCTCAACCGGCTAAGGCGCCAGCCACATACACCTAAGGTGGCGGGTTCGAATCCCCAGCCCGGACCCGCCAAACAACAATGACAGCTGCAACCAAAAAATAGCCGGGCGTTGTGGCGGGCGCCTGTGGTCCCAGCTACTTGGGAGGCGGAGGCAGGAGACTCGCTTGAGCCCAGGAGTTGGAGTTTGCTGTGAGCTGTAATGCCACGGCACACCACCCAGGGGGACAGCTTGAGGCTCCATCTCAAAAAAAAAAAAAAATAGAAAAATTAGCTGGGTGCTGTGGTAGGTGCCTGTAGTCACAGCTAATTGGGAGGCTGAGGCAGAAGGATCACTTGAGCTTAGGAGTTTGAAACCAGCCTGAGCAAGAGCACAACTCCATCTCTACTAAAATTAGAAAAACTAGCTGGGTTTTGTGGTGGGCGTCTGTAGTCCCAGCTACTCTGGAGGCTGAGGCAGGAGAATCACTTGAACCCAAGAGTTTGAAGTTGCTGTGAGCTATGTTACCATAGTACTCTACACAAGGTGGCAGGGTAAGACTGCAAAATAAAAAAAAATTCATATTTTTCCCAGAAAAAATGCAAATGATATTTAAAATTTCCATGTGAACTTTGAGGACCTGAAGAATTTCTGTAGCAAAAATGCAGGTTTCTATTCATGGTTTAATGGTGCTTGAGTAACAGAAAAGGTGTTTGGGCAAAAATTACAAGGGAAAAATGATTCATATTTTACATCTGTCTGTGTTAGACCTGCTCAGGGACTAGAATTTGGAAATTCCATAATAAATATGAAAACTGGATGCTTGATTGAGCATTTGCTTTCATTTCTTCACTATCAGGGCACAGGGACATATATTTTAAAGCTTTTAAAGGCATTTGTGCGAGAGTGCCATACAGGCCATAAAATATATTACCTATCAAAACAGGAATCACTAAAGACTATAGCTGACTTGTAGGGAAAAAACCCTTTATAATTTTAGGTTTCTCTCAGCTCTCTTTGTAAATGATCTTGGGAAAAGGTTTTTTATTATTATTATTTTTTAACTTTAATAATGACCTTGTTTTGCTTCCATGTATTTAATTTCACTGAAATGATATTTCAAAGAAAAGCTTTTCTGGAAATTGTTTTTCCTTTAAAACTCAGAATTGGAACAATGGCACTCACACCAGTGGAGTTCCAACCAGCAGATCAGCCCTTTGGCAGGAATGTAGAAGAAGACACATCGAAACTCAGTACATCTGTGTTTAGCCTCAGCCAGGAAGTCTGTTTCTTTAAGTAAACCTAACATACTAAAGATACTCCCCGCAGATGGCTCCTTTCTGGTCCACAGCAAGGTAGACAGGGCATAGTGTTTTAAAGTCTTGTCTATCCCATGGGGATGTAGGAGCCATCTATCATTGAAGGAATCCTTCCAGAGCTTCTGCCTTCCAGTACAAACAGACAGATGTGCGTCTCTAGACCTAGCTGAAGCAGGTCTGAAATGTCCCTACTCAGAGTACAGAGACAGAGAAAGAAATTACACTTTCCAATATATGCCAGCATTCTTCTAGATTCACATATAGCTCTAAAATGAACATGTGGTCGTTTGCATTGTTGTGAAATTTTATTATTAAAACACGATTCTTAAGCACAGAAACGTTTGTGTAGTTCAGCACAGCTCAAACCACATTTCCATATGGGTCGTAAGTGGTCAACCTTGTCCAGATTTTGTTTCTGCTGCAGAGGTCATCCCTTGCCATATGTCCTTATATAGTTTTCCTGCCAGCTGTGGAAAGTTACAGTACATGGTTTAATTTTGGCTGCTGTTCTGTTTCTTCATGCCCACAGTGGGCAGGCCTTTTGAAACTTGCCCTTTGTCTTTCCCTCCTATAATTCATTTTATTCCCTTCATTCTTTTTTTTCTGATGCTGTGTATTACTTGAGATTTTCCTAGAAAGGGTGTCATGATCTACAATTGGATCTTCTGCCACCCTTGGAACTTGAATTCCTTGTAGACCAGCAGCTGACGTAGAGCTAGGTGCGTCAAATGAAATCTTTTTTTTTTTTTGAGACAGAGTCTCACTATGTCACCCTTGGTAGAGAGCTGTGGCGTCACAGCTCACAGCAACCTCAAACTCTTGGGCTTAAGCGATTCTCTTGCCTCAGCCTCCCAAGTAGCTGGGCCCACAGGCATCCGCCACAACACCCGGCTATTTTTTTGTTGCAGTTGTTTAGCTGGCCTGGGCCAGGTTCGGAGCCATCTAATGGAATCTTGATCTCCTCACATTTAAACCTCAAAAGGAGTGCTTTTAAAAATATGTCTGTATGAAATATATAACAATTTGTATAAGTAGAAAACGATCTGTCTGACTTTAGCTAGGCTGAGATAGACTTTCCTTTGGGTCAGATAAATTGAAATATCTGATTTAGCACTAACTTATTTATTGATGGGTCTGCTTGGAGTATATTTTCCTTGGGTTTCAGTTATATGACTGCCATAAATTTTAATTACACTAATTAGACATAGGTGGATGCCTAAGCTCAGTTGGATTCCTAACCCTGTTCAGCTGCCTGTGTCATTAGTTTTTTTTAGTGACATGATTTGGCACCATTTTCCAACACTTTCCCAGAAATTAGTTTTAAGTTAGAAAATAACTTGTCTAATAAGGCTACTGACATTCAACTAGTTTCTTTACCTTTTTGGAGAATTGGACTTGAGTAAAGTGCATAAATTAAAACTATAACTTGTATATACTTTTCTTTTCCTGTGAGTTTTCCGACTGGTTTGATAACCTAGAGAAGGAGATGTGCCCCATCCTTCAGCCAGGCTGATGAATCCTTGTGCTCATGTCTGTCTAGTTTAGGTGGAGCCTGGCCTGGTGCAGGGCTGAGCATCAGGTTTTAACATGTGCAAGGCCAGTCAATTGGGGGTATCCACATGGAGCACAGTGTTGAGAAGAATTCTGAGGACCCAGCAGGCAGGAAGCCAGCCTTTATTAGCACCATGCACCTGGGCACAGGAGGGGGTAGTCTCAGGACCACTCTGGCCCTGCAGTTGCCATGCCTGTTTTAGTGAGGAGCATTACAGCAGTGCCCAGTGCAAACCCCTAAGAACACCAAGGTCAATTAGCAACCACCAAGCCAGGCTGCAGGGGAGGCAGCTGTGTCTTGAGAGCAGTTGGTATCTAACATGAACGTGCATCAGAAGCACCTAGCACCTGGAGGGTTTGTCACAACCCAGATTGGTGGACTCTGTTCCCAGAGTATTGGATTCAGCAGGTCTAGGGTGGGACCTGAGACTTGGATTTATAACAAGCTCCTGAGACTGCTAGTCTGGGGACCCTACTTTGAGGATTGCTAGCTTAGGGGCTTTAGGGCTGTGTCTGTACGTGCCTAGCCCTTCCTCTGTCACTGCTCTCTGTGACCTCAGAGAGGTGTTTGGATTTTGTTTGGGGGCTATTTCACTTCATCTGCATTTAGCAACACCTCAGGACACAAAAAGTGTCTGTTTGGCCCAGCAAACACTTAGAAATTTAGGGGCATGGAAACTGACAAGAGTTTTTTTTCTCTCCTTAAGGGTTATAGTGCCAGTGCTTTTGGTGAGGTTGACTGGTTTGCGTCCGTCTGGATTATCTCACACCAACATCCAGGCTCAGGGGGCTGCCTCTCCATGTATTTGCAGGAGTGTGTGTTCACTTTTCCATGTGCTCACCTTTTGTTGAGTACTTGATCTCTGCACTCTGATGCAGGGAGAAGCTCACAAAACCAGAAAACCTGGAGCATTGAGTTTCAGAGGCTCTCTTTAGAAGCTGAGTTAATGAATCTGTTTGTCTCTTGTTATTTTCTCAAGGTTGCTGTCAGCAGTTATGCATAGCCAAGAAGGCAGGAAGCCTGCAGCACTGATGAGATTGGCAACTGATGAGATTGGGTGGGGAGATGGGATGCAGCAGCCCAGAGTATGGGTGCACTGAGGGCCGCTAGGCTTTCTGGCAGTTCTTTAAAACAGGCATGATGTTATTATCACCTTGGATCTCAAGTTAAGGGAGATTATGCACCAATATTATGACCATCCATTTTCAAATCCTCTTAAGTTTAAGGCTCACTAGGTGCGGAGTGAGTATACAGAATCTGAGCGACAGTGCTGAGAATGTGTGAAGATGGATTTTTCAATCTGTTCATTTTCCTGTTTCTCTCTCCCTCTCCCTCTCTCTCTCAGAGTTTCGAACATCCAGCAGCAGCTGGCCCAGCTTGAAAACGAGTCCTGGCCCGGCATGGCGGAGGCCGACAGGGACCGGCTGCAGCTCATCAAAGAGAAGGAAGCCCTGCTCCAAGACCTGCAGCTCATCATCCAGCAGCGGCGCTCGGCGGAGGACGTGGGCCGCCTGGAGCAGGAGCGCAGGCGGCTAGAGGACGAGCTACAGCGCGCACGGGCCACATCTGCGCAGGGCGCTACGGAGAGGTGGGCAGGGTGGGTGGGCTTGTGTGGGGCCGAGGAGGGTCGTGATTATGACTCAGCCTGGCAGCTGTGGCCCATTGCCAAGTAGAGGCTGGGGGGAGGCTGGGAGCTCTCCCTCACAGGAGAGTGCTGCATTCTTGCAGGGAGCCAGCTGCCCCCCTCCGTGACGATCCTGGTGCTTGCTCAGAAGCGAGAGGTGATGGCAAAAGGGGAAGGAGCCGGGGAAAACAGTGCACCCTGCCTGCAGCCCACCCTCCGTCCTGTAGGTGTCTAGTGCTTCCTCCGCATGTGAGCATTTGCAGGACAGGCCTGGAGCAGGCTGGGGCTACACGCAAGAAGGTGGGGAGGTAGGTGGTGCTGCAGCTCTAGAGGGGACTCTGCTGCCTGGGGCAGTCCCTTTTGCTGACATGGCAGTGTTGGGAACGGGTACCTACTACTTTTATCTCTGACTTTGATACCAACCGGGAAAGCCTTCTTTTTCTTTTGCGCAGTAAGTCTGGTGTGGGCCTTTTTCCTTTGCCTCAAGGCTTTCTCATTGCTCTCGGCATTTGAAGCCTATGTGGTATCTTTTGTATTCTTTAGCACCAAGTTGTTCCACCTTTCATCGTGTGCCACATGTCCTGGTTTCCATGTGCTGTGTGTGATCTCAGATTGTGTCAAAGGCTGGGTCTGCTGTCCACACTTAACAGCTGATAGAAGTTTATCTGTGGATCCCTGCCAAGCTCGGGTGATCCCCCTCACATGTTGGTGCACTGGCTCCATCTCAGCATTCTCTACTTAGAGTGCAGTGGACACCTGAATGACATCATCTGTTCAGATGCTCCTATAACTAGTATCTCATCACATCACATAATTGTCCTCAGTGTCTGTGGGGTATTATGCTTGGCTAGTCATTGGTGATCTTTTTGGCCGATGACTCTGGCTTAGCATGAGGGGCTCCCAGCCGCCTTGGTTGGGGGGCACACCACGGTGTTCAGAGACTGAGTCAGATTTTGCCTGAGGTGACAGCATGCCCTGTCCACCCACTCAGAATAAACTGAGAGCTGATTCTGAGTCTGAAAAGGGAGTATACAACTGAAATTTTCTTCTGTGCTCTTGTGCGTTTGTGTTATTTTTAGTTAAACATTACCTTCTCTTCTGTCTTTGATGTTCTAGTGTGTAGGTTCTGTGTAGGAGGGCCTGGAATTCTGTTGGTTCTCTATTAAGGGGGTGGATTTCGTCCCACAAATGCTGTCTGTTCCTCAGGGTCTCTGCCCACACTCCTGACTGTGACAGTCCAGCATGCACGAGTTCTGTGGTCCTAGGGGACAAACCTGCAGGACCCGGTGGAGCCAGGGTTACCAGATGCTGGGACACCAAACCCAGACCAGCTTTGACAGAGACGGGAGTGTCTGGTGGGACCAGCCCAGGTGCTGAGTCCGGTCACTCAGCTCCTAACCGGATCAAATTGACCCAGGCGTGTTTCCTGAATCTACTGCTAAATGACCTGGGTGAAGGAGGAGCATACACATGTGCTAAGCACTTTCACACTCAGCACTTTTTTCCTGGGAGCATCTGTCTGTGACCTCTGCTGCACTGTGAGGAGGTGGTGCTCCACTAGCTCTTAGCACCCTGTGCCAGGTGGATGCAGGGCCCATCTCTCCATATCACTTCCCTTCATTTGAGGAGTGACTGAAGATTAGATGTGTGGGACCACATAGTAGGAGGCTTCCTCTGGCATAGGCTGGGGGTTTAGAAGGAGACCCAGTATGGGCCAGGTGGGAAGGGACTGATTTTGCATCTTAAGACTGAGATATGGCAGTTGTACAACCGGGGCCATCAATTTGCCCCTCTCAGCTTCAGTATCATCATTGTCAAATGGCAAGTGCCAGGTAGATAGTGAGTGTCACTGTGGGTTGGAGAGCTGCAGATCCTGGTCAGGCCTCAAGCCTCCTGCCAGTGGCTGAGGACACATAACAGGCGTGTGCTCTGCTCTGGCTGGTATCTTTTACTTATTTATTTTTTTTGAGACACAGTCTGACTGTGTCACCCTTGGTAGAGTGCTATGACATCACACCTCACAGCAACCTCAAACTCTTGGGCTTAAGCAATTCTCTTGCCTCAGCTTCCCAAGTAACTGGGACTACAGGTGCCCGCCACAACGCCGAGCTATTTTTCTGTTGCAGTTGTCATTGTTGCTTAGCTGGCCCAGGCTGGGTTCCAAGCTGCCAGCCTCGGTGTATTTGGCCAGTGCCCTAACTACTGAGCTACGGGCACTGAGCCTCTGGCTGGTATCTTTGGAGGGAGATTGGATGTGTAGGACCACTCAGTGCACATCTCCCAGGGATATGGGAACAGGCATGGACTAACGCCCCAGCGTTCAGATGGTTTCAGTCAAGACTTAACAAATAACACCCTTTGTTGTTTGGCTGGAGTTAGGGTGTAGTGGGCTCTTATGCAAGATGCTGGTGGTCAACAGAGAACGTCAGGGCTCTATTGTGAGATGCCATCCTGAGAATTTCTCTCTCCAAAGACAAATACTTTTAATATTAATATGAGACTGATTATGAAAATGAAAGTTCTATCAAAAAGCAGAGATTTGTATTTTGTTAACCATGGAATCATATTTTCCTTCACAATTTAGTGACCTCTTTATAATAAAGTACTTTATCTAAAGGAAATAAAGACAATAAATTAGGCTTTATATTTTCTTTATCTGTTAGCTTGTCTTTTAGACTTCTCTTTATAGCAATGGTTCTTAACATTCTTTGAAGTTCATCTCTTTTGAAGTAGGGGCACAGGCTATCTACTTTGGGGGTTGAGCCCTGGCCAGTTTTCTGCGAAGGTTTAACCTAAGGCCCTTTTCTTTTCCTTCTTTGTTTATTTATTTGCAGTTTTTGGCCAGGGCTGGGTTTGAACCTGCCGCCTCTGGCATATGGGGCCAGTGCCCTACCCTTTTGAGCCACAGGCGCCGCCCCTCTTTGTTTTTTTAATTGCGACAAAGTCTCACTTTGTCACTCTCTGTAGAAGCCGGTTGTGTCATAGATCTCAGCAACCTCAAACTCTTGGGCTCAAGCAATTCTCTTGCCTCAGCCTCCCTAGCAGCTGGGACTACAGGCACCTGCCACAATGCCCGGCTAATTTTTATTGTTGTTTAGCAGGCCCCGGGCTGGTTCAAACCTACCAGCTCCAGTTCATGTGTCTAGTGCTCTAACCACTTAGCTACAGGCACCCAGTCCCTTTTTTGTTGGAAAAATGTGTACAATAGTAAGGCAGATAGTTAAGACTCCTGTTTTAGCAATATATGTTCCAGATTTTAGATGTCATGACTAAAGACAATCTGAAATTGTACTATACATAAAAATGTGTCTACATGTACTATATATGAAAATAGAGAGTGCATGGATGGATGTAGTAATGTGTTGGAAAGCCTACCTTGGTCACTCAAGAGTGGAGCCAATTATCAGTAAGAACTCAATTTAGATTTTATTAATTTGGAATTTGAGCTAATAAAATTCAGATTTGTTCGGAATTTATGAAAAAACATTAAGAAAAAAGCCTTGTACTAAGCTTGGGCAAATTCCCTACAACAAATCTCTTTCTGGGTCTGATTGGTGTTTACAATAGGACATGCTCTGCTGGTGTTGTCCCTGCCCCTAGAATCCTCTGTGACCTAATAGTGTCCCTGTGGTAATGAGAGTGTTGTACTGGGAGTGGGTTTGGAAGCCCCTCAGTGTACACATACTGACAGCCGAATCACATAGCAGGAGGTGGGGCAGGGCAACATCTTGGCAACCTGGCTTGGCTTTGGTTTCAAGCCAACTTGACCAGCTTTGAACTTGCATAGTTGAGGCAAGGTTCTTTTACTTCTTGAGTGCCATTTTCCTCATCTGTAAAGTAGGGATAGAATCAAATGAGTAGTAAGCAATGAGATGAGACATGCAAAGTGGCTGGCTTTATGAAGTGCTCGGTAGCACTGTCTGTGCCTTCTATAAGTTTATACAGCTCTTCTGGTGTGACATACAAAAATCCACTCGAGAACTTTAGAATTGCTTTTTAAAAGTTATTTTCATTTGTATAACATATTAGTTAAAATGTTTTCCATAAAATTTAAAATATTATATGTAAGTAGAATCTTAGAAAATTCTACTCATTAAACTTCATTACAGCTGTTCTCAAAATTTCCGGTTCCTAAAAGGACCATCTTCCAGTGTTGAAATTACTGAGAACCAAAGAGAGCTTTTGTTTATGTGGACTTAATTGTCAGTATTTACTGATTAAGAAATTAGCACTGAGAAATTCTTTAAATATTTATTTACTAGGCTCGGCACCTGTGGCTCAAGTGGCTAAGGCGCCAGCCACACACACCTAAGGTGGTGGGTTTGAATCCAGCCCGGACCTGCCAAACAACAATGACAGCTGCAACCAAAAAATAGCCAGGCATTGTGGCGGGCGCCTGTGGTCCCAGCTACTTGGGAGGCGGAGGCAGGAGACTCGCTTGAGCCCAGGAGTTGGAGGTTGCTGTGAGCGTGATGTCACAGCACTCTACCCAGGGGGACAGCTTGAGGCTCTGTCTCAAAAAAAAAAAAATTAATTACTAAAGATAACAATAAAATCCCCATTATGTGTTAATATGAATAACATTTTTATGACTGATAACTTTTTTGAAACAAAAAAATGTAGTGAAATGAGGGGTATTGTTTTATATTTCTATCACTCTGTTTAGAGCCTTGGGTAATGCTGGGGCATTCAGCCTGCCGTGATAGGTCATCTAGAGGGATTTGTAAGGAGCTTGTTGCCTATGGCTATGCAGCTAGAAGAGGGTCCGTCACAAGAGCCCTGTAAGCCTTGGGATCCCAAGGGGGTCTCTGGACCACACTTAGAAAACCATCAGTTTTTTAGGCTCTGTGCCCATAGCACAGTGGTTACGGCGCCAGCCATATGCACGAGGCTGGTGGGTTCAAACCTGGCTCTAGCCAACTAAACAACAATGACAACTACAACAAAAAAATAGCTGGGCATTGTGGTGGGTGCCTGTAGTCCCAGCTACTTGGGAGGCTGAGGCAAGAGATTCACTTAAGCCCAAGAGTTTGAGTTGCTGTGAGCTGTAATGCCACAGCACTCTACCAAGGGTGACAGCTTGAGACTCTGAAAAAAAAAATTAGGAAAACCATCAGTTTTAATACATGATATTTAACTTAAAAAAATCGGATAAAAGTCATTTGGGTAGTGGCTTTAGTTATACCAATATTTGTTGGAGTGGAAGATATTGGGGTCCCCTGAACCAGAGTATAAAGGAGCAGGGCACATTTTACTGTCATGCCAGCAGAGCTTCATATGGCACTATTTGGAGTTCTCTTAGCATCTGAGAGAAACAAAGACACATTAGAATTGATGGTTTGTCACTCAAATTCAGACAGGCTTATCTTCCTTCTAAATGTCAGGGATATATCCATTTTCTTTATTGGTGAGAGATATTCTCTGTCTATCACTTGTTATTTGCTATATATTATTTGTGCAGCATTAGTTCTCTAAGCTAAAAATTGTGGACTCCATTTTTATAGGTAATGAAACTAATGGCTCAGAGAGGGCAAGACATTTGTCCAAGGCCACACAGCTTGTGAGTGGGCAAAGTGGGACTCTGAATCTCGGGCTGCCCCGGTTGCCTGTCTATTTCTGGTTTTCTCTTGACATTCCCTCCTCCCTGTTGGTACAAAGAATAATGTTTTAAGGGCGTCTACTGTGGCCCGATGTTATAATGCCATTGTTTGGGTTTGTAAGCAAGGAGTGTTATATTCTAGAGACAAATGTATTTATTCCTGTACTCACTCTACAGCTGTTTATTAAGTGTGCTTATACATGCCAGTTCTATTCTAGGTGGTAGGCTTGATGGAATGGGGGAAAATGTTTATTCTAGAAAATTATAAAGTGGAAAAAAGCAAACAGAAGGAAAAAATTACTTCTAACCTCATGACCTTGAGACAGCCAAAGCTACTATTTTGTTTCTAATTTTTTAATTCTGTAGATTTTAGAATTGCATTTACTTTTGCCTAGAAGGGGGCCTAGGAAGAGGGAATCTGATTTGTTCCAAGAAATCCTACATGCTCTGCATTTGAACCTGTTTTCTAGGCTAGTCATCTGTTACTCTATCCACCAATCTTCCCATCCACAACACCCACCTACCCAGCCGTTTAGCCACCTACTCATCCATACACCCATCCATCCATCTGCCGTGGTTCACCCACCCACTCACTCCCATGGATTGAGCTTCCACAGTGTGGCAGGCCCTGCTCCAGGGGCCAGAGATATATTTTTCAAACAGGATAAAAACAGCCTGTTATCTTAGTACTGAGGGCCCAGATACTTTTAGAATTGTTAGTCATGCCAACCAAAATCAATTGTGGGAGTTTATAGTTGAGTGTCTTGTTATGAAAATATGCTGCCTATCTTTCAAATCCACTAATTATCTGGTTTTTTTCCCACAGGATTCTCCTTCAGGAAAAAAGAAATTGTCTGCTTATGCAGCTAGAAGAAGCCACCCGCTTAGCATCCTATCTCCAGTCCCAGTTGAAAAGGTGGGTGGATTCCTTTAAAAGAGAAACCTGCACTGGATCATCATGTTACAGTGACATGTGCATGAAGTTCGCAGCACTTTTTAGCTTGGAGTTTGTCCTACTGGAATGTGGAACCTGAAGTGGTGTTAAACACAGAATGGAAAAGTGGATACTTTAGATTTTTAAGATACTAAGGCACGTACGATTCAAGGAATATGAGGAGCATCAAATTTGGCTTCAGAATAAATAGCAAGCCTGAAGTCAAATCTATCCAAGGATTTTGTAATTTCATCAATAGCTTCAGGAGTGTGCATGTATACATGCCCACATTTTTAATTATTTTTTTAAGGATATGAATATCTTTAAGATGAGTAAGATCTAGATGCTCCAGAATAGCTGTACTTACTGCAGTGGGAAGCATAGCGTAGAGGGATTTATCTGCATTATTTTCTCAATTATACCTCCTAACAATGTGGTCAGGTGGGAACTGTTGTCACCCCAGTCCCCAGGGAGCAAGGGTGGCTCAGAGAGATAGAGTAACTTGAGCAGGTGTGCCCCACTAATGTTCATTTGAGCTGGGATTTGAATTCAGACACCAGTCTTTGCTGTTGCCCTCTGCTCTCTACCATCAATCTAAAGAAACAAAGGAAGTCTCACTGAAGGCTCCACTTCAGATGCCCACGGGGGTTAGAGATGTGCTCAGTCCACTGGAGTGTGAGGCCGCCTGCTGCTCTGCTCGGGGTGTAGGCTGCGGTGTCTCTAAGATCGCGGGGCTCTGTCGTTTCAGCCTGTCTGCCAGCACCCTGACGATGTCCTCTGGGAGTAGCCGTGGGTCCCTGGCCTCCAGCCGAGGTTCACTTGCCTCCAGCCGCGGTTCCCTGAGTTCCATCAGCTTCACCGACATCTACGGCCTCCCACAGTACGAGAAGGCCGACGCTGAGTGCGGCCAGGTCCTGCGCTTCGACCTCATCCCCTTCGACTACCTGGGACGGGATGCCCCCTTCCCAGACCCCCCGAGCCACTCTGGCCTCCACAAGCAAAGGCGGTCCTTGGACACACCCCAGTCCCTGGCATCGCTATCCTCCCGCTCATCCCTGTCCTCTTTGTCGCCCCCAAGCTCACCCTTGGACACACCTTTCCTCCCGGCCTCCCGGGACTCGCCTCTGGCGCAGTTGACGGATGGTTTTGAGGTGCCAGGCCTGGGTACCCTGGACAGACTGCGGGCTCAGGCCTCTGCTTTGGGGGACGAAGATTTGCAGGCCACGGTGTCCCTTCAGCCTCGCGGATTCCCTGGGGATGGGGAAGGACCACACGAACGAGGACCCCAATTGGCCGGGGCTCCCATGGGTGGACGTAAGTGTTAATAGGTCCTCCTGGGAAGCAAGATTTCAATCCAGGGAAGAAATGGTGTATAACCATATTGATTCTGGCTGGCTTTTTGGGTACATAGTGAGCTCTAAATTTAGGACTATTTGGTGAGATTAGGAATACATCTGCTCTAGTCTTTCTAATCTATGTTGGGGAAAGACAACTGAAATTCACACAGTATTTTCTATGTATTTTTTTGGTTTTTGGAATGTACTTAATTATTTAAAACTAGGGTAAGGCCCACACAGTCTTCCACATTCAGAGGATGATGAAGATGTATTAGTGCCTTAGTGAATCTGCAAGCTGTGTGCCAACACGGGACGTTCTGTGTTTGCCTGCCTAAGACCTTTAGTGGACTGCTGTGTAGTGGTAGCCCAGTAGGAATCTCTACTTCCTTTGTTGCTTTGACTTCATCTCTTTATTTTTTGTCCTCCATTTTTTAAAAAAATGTTTTTGAGATAGGGTTTTTCTCTGTTGTTCAGGCTGGAGTGCCGTGGCATCATCAGAGCTCACTGCAACCTCACTCCTGGGCTCAAGTGATGCTCCTGCCTCACCCTCCTGAGTAGCTGGGACTACGGCTCCCACCACCATGCCTGGCTAATTTTTCTTTCTTTCTTTCTTTCTTTTTTTGTAAAGACAAAACCTCCTATGTTGTCCAGGCTGATCTCAAACTCCTGGCCTCAAGTTATCCTCCCCGCTCAGCCTCCCATAGTACTGGGACTATAAGCATGAGCCACTGCACCCAGCCTCTCATAGTTTTGAAGAATGTTACTCTTTCAAATGTAGAAGTGAAAACAATTGTGTAATTTCAAAAGATGTACCTGTGGGCATTGGTCATTTCTATCAAATCAATTTCTCTAGTAGTCTTCAAATTCTCTAGTAGTCTTCAAAACATGGAGCTTCATCTATGAGGTTGGTGTTAATTCAGCTCCTCCTTGATGCCACAATCTTTCAGCTTATAGCTCGCTAAGAAAACCAAACTATAGTTTGAGAGAATATTGACCTCATGTGTGTTTCTGAGCCAACACCTGGCAAGTTTAACTTCTTTCAATTTATTATTATTTTATTTATTTATTTATTTTAGAGACAGAGTCTCACTTTGTTGCCCTTGGTAGAGTGCTGTGGTGTCACAGCTCACAGCAACCTCCAGCTCTTGGGCTTAGGTGATTCTCTTGCCTCAGCCTCCCAAGGAGCTGGGACTACAGGCACACGCCAGCACACCTGGCTATTTTTTTTTGTTGCAATTTGGCTGGGGCTGGGTTTGCAGCCTACTAGGGAAATTGATTTGATAGAAATGACCAATGAACTACCACCCTCCATATATGGGGCCAGCGCCCTATTCACTGAGCCACAGGCGCTGTCCAGCTTCTTTCAATTTAAAGAGGATCAAGAACAAGCTCTCCCATTCCTGAAGTTCAGCTCATTTAATGAACTATTTTCACAGCAAAAATGTTTTAGATGCTCCATCTAGTCAAATGTTAGATAATTTGTATAGATCCTGGCTGCTATGTTGGATCTCAACCAGGAGTTTTTTGCCTCCTGCCCCTTGGGAACTGTTGGTAATGTCTGGAGACATTTTTGGTTGTCACAACTGGGGGAAGGGAGGTTTTGCTACAAGCATTTAGTGAGTAGAGGCCAAGGTATGCTGGTAAGCATTCTACCGTGCACAGTACAGTTCCACAACAAAGATGATCTAGCCCAAAGTGTCAGTGATGCTGAGGCTGAGCAACTCTGGTAACATACTATTGAGTATTTATGCAACAAAGGGTAGAAATAAAACTAGAATACAAAACCCAGACCGAGATCTTTTCCCTGTCCTGTCGACTGCTGGATGTACACATCCCTGGACTTGGCTGAGTCTTACCTTCCCTGCCCTTGACAATGGTTTCCTCCATTCACCACCATTCTGTTTCCCAGAAGATAGATCAATGAAGAGATTGAGAGATAGGCCAATGGGTAGATTGAAAAATAGACTGATTGGTCTATGGATTGATCTATCTATAAAACAGTAATCTGTGAGCACTTAACAGGTATAGCCAGAGGCAGTTATATTCTGGAGCTGCCTCAGGGCTTTCTGGCATCTCTATTATTTCAGTGTCTTTTCCTCTGTGTTTGCAAACATGCTTTGATATCCCCATATACACGGTTTCTGTAATTCTCACATACAGGTAACCTTTATTTGCTTTATTCTTTATAATCACAGAGTCTTTGCTCCATTTCACTTTTTTCATTCAGAAAATACACAATAAGGATTGAACTACACATCTGTCATTGCTTAAGCTTACTTTCCTCTTAGTTTCCCTTCTCTCCTTTCCCACCCACTTGTCTTTTAAGGATGAGAGTTAAAAATATCAGTCTGCTTATGCATGAAAAAGGCTCAAAGGCCACTTTGGGCCAGGGAAAAATAGGTTGGAAGGAAGAAGAGCAGACTTAATTTCTGATCCTGATACTGTAATTTTTCGTTCGCATTCTGTGGTAGACATTATTGGTTCATACTGCTTAGACTGGGGCACATTTGAATGCATGTTTAGACAAGGTAGATTATTGTATGACATTGGTGAATTCTTGTGTGACACTGCCATCTGGTATTGGATTTGTATATGATGCTAGTGGTGAATTCTGATGTTGCACTACCATCTGGTGGTGGATTTTAGCATGATGTTGGTTGTGAATTCTTGTGTTACACTGACATCTGGTGGTGAATTCTTATATGACAGTTGTGGTGGGTTTTTAAATGATACTGCCGCCTTGTGGTGTATTTTTGTAAGACATTGTTCTAAGGGCACACTGACTTATGTCCTTACATTAATGGGTTTTGTTGGGTCCTTCCAGAGGGCTAAGATGAAGGCATGGATACAGGGGCTCCTTGCTTCTCTCAATGCTTGTGGGAACTCCTGAGGCCAGAGTCATGGTAGCTTCATAAAGTTGAATCTTGGTACTCATCATATTACCCTACCCTGTCATTTATCAGTCATGTTAGAAATGGTACAGGCTAAGGTGAGCCCCCAGCAAACTTTAAGAAGATAAAATTTTAGTAAAATTAAAAATCAGAATTGCCCAAACCTTCAAAGCAAGCTTTGAATTATTTCTTCTATTGGGTTTAAACATCAATCAGAGGGGATAGAAAGCAGGACAGGGGTGGGTAATGTGCTGTAATCTAGAACATTTTTTACAGTTTTACTAGTTTTGTCTTCCTTGGATTTTAAGTCAGATGTGTCATGATTTTGAAAGACTTTCCTATTTTCATCTACCCATTAGTATTTGCTAATCAGAATCTGTAAAAATGTTCACTTTACTCATCTATTTATTGATGTTTTATTATGTTCATACTCTGTTAAAAAAAAAACTGTTGGCTTAAATTCCACAGGTTTTTCACTTTATGCTTTTTCTTTTTCTCTTTATCTCTTCTCATGCTGCTCGACAGAAACATTTACCGTAAGTGGCCTTGGAATCCCCTCCCCCCACACCTTTGTTGCTCAGGCTGTGGGCACATCTTTATGCCGTGAATTGATGTGTTTAGGGTGGTTAGAGTGTGTCCAAGAAGGGTGTATCTTCTAGCTTTACTTTGATGTAACTTGTCAATTGTCATTATCATTGTTACTTCAATAATATTCATAATGACTACTAAAAACTTTAGTTGTCTATTCCTTCTGTGTATTTGTTTCCAAAATTTCATGGTGTTTATTATTTTCTTTTCTTTTTTTTTTTCTTGTGAGACAGAGTCTTACTTTGTCACCCTCCTTAGAGTGCTGAAGTGTCATAGCTCACAGCAAACTTAGTCTCTTGGGCTCAAGTGATTCTTTTGCCCCAGACAATGCCTGGCTATTTTTAGAGACAGGGTCTCCCTCTTGCTCAGGCTGGTCTCAAACTCTTAAGCTCAGGCGATCCACCCGCCTCCGACTCCCAGAGTTCTGTGATCACAGGTGTGAGCCACTGTGCTTGGCCTTGTTTATTATTTTAATATGCCAACTTGCAGCTTTGTCTACAAGGTGATTTTCATTGTATATTTTTCCTTTTTATCAAACAGTGTTCATGTCCTTGGGACTTAGTGTCTATCTGTAATGATGAGCAGCTCAGAGACTTTTTAAATAAATGAGTGAAAGTTTTTTATGTCTTGCTTCATTGGCATTTCTCCCCATGGTCAACCTCATTGCCTTGAAGCCCAAGAGCAGACCCTGGGGATGTGTCCTGTGGGATCTTCACTGCGTTCTTCTACCCTAGGACAGTGTTTCCTCTCAGCAACTCCAGCTTCCTTTTGCTCTGTGAATTTGGTGACTCAACCCAGGCTTGATGAGGATTAATTCTTTAATTTCCTTTCTTTCTTCATTGATATCTATCATAAAGATGAGAGGGAGGCATGGTCAGAATTATACCACCAGCTCCGGTTAGCTACAGGCGCCTAGGATTGTTACTTATCGCTGTTTCCTTGGAGGCATTTCAAGCTACATCTGGGAACTATGCTGAGTGTCAGGATGGGGAATGGAAGGAGTAGTGGTCGATTTTGTTTGCTGGGGATTGATTCAGCAGAGTGGAAGGTTCCATTTGTAATTCAGGGCCAGGGATTTGGGGTCCCTGCACATGGCAAGAAGGAAGAGGAGGGCTGGCCTTGGGAGTTCTATCCTACAATTTGAAAACCAGCTTCCATTCCAGGGTGACAGGGAGAGAAGCAGATAATTCCCCCGGGCTTGGCATTGCAGATTTAGAAGGTTTGCTTGTGTCTCCAGGTGACTATAAGACCAATGGCCACAGGCCATCTGTTTTATATTCTGTTCAACATATCTGTGTTTAATTGTCGCGAATGATAATTTGGTGGAAAAGAGAGATGGCCATCCATGGACTCATCATTTCCCTCAACTTAGGAATGTACAGATGCCAAAGCTTGGAATTTATAGAGCTTAGATAGCCAAAGAGAAGTGCAGAGACCACAGAGGAATGCCTATTGTTACTGGCAGGCCTTGTGATGGCAGGGTGATGCTGAGTGGCACTGCCGGTCTTAGTTGTGTTCTAACCGTGTGTGTCCCTCTGTGAAGCAGTAGGACTTCTGTGCACATGCCCACATTTAGCGTAGAAAGATCATGTGCACATTTTTTTTTTTTTTTTTTTTTTTGAGACAGAGCCTCAAGCTGTCCCCCTGGGTAGAGTGCTATGGCATTACAGCTCACAGCAACCTCCAACTCCTGGGCTCAAGCGAGTCTCCTGCCTCCGCCTCCCAAGTAGCTGGGACCACAGGCGCCCGCCACAACGCCCGGCTATTTTTTGGTTGCAGCCGTCATTGTTGTTTGGCGGGTCCGGGCTGGGGATTCGAACCCGCCACCTTAGGTGTACATGGCTAGCGCCTTAGCCGGTTGAGCTATAGGCGCCGAGCCTGCACATTTTTATAAGTTGTTGAAAGGAGCTTATTGCTGGGACGTAACAGGTAGAAAGAGTTGGTGAAATGTTAAAAAGGAAGCTCTCAGTGGTTATCTTTGGCTGTTGATTAAAATAGATATGAAACAAAAAATAAGCTGCCCAGTAGCAGTGGCATTCTGTCCCAGGAAATCAGTTCTGGGAGCAAATTTGGCCCCTGGGAGCCTGGAAGGATACTGCAATTACCAAGACAGCCAGTCTGAGCCCTGTGTCTTCCCCTGAGGGCCATAGATCTCTGAGATGTTTTCAAAGGATGAGTCTGGGTCCAACTGTGTCCTCTGCTTTGAAGGTCACTAAATTTTGTTAGGGTGTAGATGGTAAATTAAACTTTTTTTCTGATTATAAAAGCAGTATTTTATTGTGTAAATATGGCAAATACCAAATAGCATAAAGGAAGGAATAAGAAATACTACCTCATGGAAAGCACAGCTGCTGTCCCCACTTGGGCTGGCATTTCTTTCACCGTGTACTGGGGACGAGAGCCCTTTTCATGGTGAAAGGGACTTCTTTCTACCATCTATATTCTCTGTGCTCATTAAGCGGGTGGAAAGAGATTTATAAATTCAGGTGTCTTTCCAGACACCTTAAAAGCTCTTGAAGAAGTAGCCAGAAGTCTATTTCTTCAATTTTTTGATATTATAATAAAATAAGTTCAGGGTATGTGTATGTGAGCATCATGGCGTGTCTCTGAAATACTTAGTGACCTAGTATGTGCTCTAACGTAGAGGTCCCCAGCCTCCACGGTGTCATCTCCTGACCCTGGGTATGATGCTTATTTGCAGCAGTGACTCTTCGAGAAGATGGTGCCAAGAGGCTGGAGAGAAGAGCGCGCCGCATCTCTGCATGTCTGTCAGATTATTCACTGGCAAGCGACAGCGGGGTATTTGAACCCCTAACCAAAAGGTTAGAGAGTAATCTTACTGTGTCTTACTACAAGGTCATTGTCAAGTGCAGAAAGGGTCTCTACTGAAACTTTTATATATTGAAGCTTTTTTTCTTTATCCAGAGGAGGAATTTTTTTTTTACCTTCTTTCAACTTTGGGAGGTTGGGCCTTAGAGAAAGCAAACTCCTCTGGCTTTTATGTGGCATTTGGATGTGGGCTCTCACTCTGTAGTTCTAGGATCATTTCACTTATTGCAAACCTTTTTCTTTTTTTTGCAATTTTTGGCCAGGGCTGGGTTTGAACCTGCACACCTCCGGCATATGGGGCCGGCGCCCTACTCCTTTGAGCCACAGGCACCACTCTGCTAATTTTTTTTTAAAGTTAATTTTTGAGCATTTCCCTGCTTATCACATGTGGCTTTGAAAGGTATACAGAGAGCCTGCCTGCCTTCCTTCCGTCCTCCCTCCCTTCCCTCCTTCCCTTCCTTCTTTTTTAAGAGACAGAGTCTTGCTCTGCACCCGGGCTGGAGTGCAGTAGTGTGATCATAGTTCTCTGTAGATTCCAACTCCTAGATTCGAGTGATCCTTCCCTCTTGGTTTTCCAAAGTGCTGGGATGATAGGCATGAACCACCACACCTAGCTCAAAGTTGTTATTATTTTTTTTTAGAGACAGAGTCCCACTTTATCACCCTCAGTAGAGTGCCGTGGCATTATAGCTCATAGCAACCTCAAATTCTTGGGCTCAAATGATTCTCTTAACTCAGCCTCCCAAGTGGCTGAGACTACAGGCACCTACCACAATGTCCAGTTATTTTTTGTTGCAGTTGTCATTGTTGTTTAGCTGGACCGGACTGGGTTTGAACCAGCCAGCTTTGGTGTATGTGGCTGGCACAGTAACCACTGTGCTACGGGTGCCGAGCTGTGGTATTTTCTTAAAATTAAAGAAAAAAAATAAAATGACATAAGAAACAGCAGTATGAGATACCCCAATGGATGGGGACCTGCCATGTCCTTTCAGCTGCTTAATGTCTTTATTTATGTTGCAATTTAATGGAGCTCTCTATTAAGACGAGCAAGCTCCTGCGTAGGGTAATCTGTTCCCTTTGGAATGTCAGCGAGTGGATATTCCATTGTGTTTAGGAGTGAAGATGCGGAGGAATGTGCCTACGGGGACACGTGCAGTAGTGAAGACCCCCAGATCCATGTGGGCATTTTGTGAGTACAGAAAACTCCTTCTCTGTTGTTCTTAAAGATGGCCAGTACCTTGGGGCCCACCCAGTGGTTCACATGTCTGCACACAGGCCAGGCAAGATGGTGGGACCCATGTCACCTGGTCTCCATGCCCCAACCTGGGTCTCAGGTGAGGCCATAGAGGTGGTAGAAAGGAACAACAGGGAACAGTGGCTCCATTGCTGTCTTTCAACACTGAGGTTCACAGCTAGGAGCTGTCACCTCAGGGAGCTGGGGCTTCAGAGCTGTAACACAAGTGGTTCAGAAAAGGCCTGGGCAGAGTGCAGCTCTTGGGGACAGTGGTGCACATTTCTGCCCGCATTTGATTCTGTTCTGTGCAGCAAAGCTAGTAGTGTCCTTCTCTCATCCCAGAGCAGGTAACCAGGAGGTTCCGTTTCTTGGTTTCTCATTACGGTTTCAATAAAGGCAGTGGCTGTGATGTTCATGCCAGCAAGCAGTTGCCAGGCACCAATGTTTGCATCTGCTCATTCCCATTATTCCCTCAGAGTTTCTCCTCCTGGTGTTACTGGCACCCAGGTCAGATCTCTAAATCTGTGCTGGGAGGGCTGTGAAGAGGTCACATTCTATCCTATAGGGTACTGAGTGGCATCCCCAAGCCCCACCCACTAGATACCATCTGCGTCCCCCACCACCACCTGCCAGTTGCAACGATAAAAGATAAAAAAAATGTCTCCAGGCAAAACATGGCTCCAGATGTTGCAGCTGTCCCCTGGGAGTAGGGTGGGCCCCTCAGTTGGCGGCCACCATGGTACTTCAGCCAGAAGGATGTCTCCACCACGGGAAACTTGCTGCTCACAGGCTCATGGTTGGTTTCCTAGGCATGACAGTGTCAGCGAGTGTCTCCTGGTGCACGTGCTGCAGCTGAAGAACCCCGCAGGGCTGGCGGTGAAGGAAGACTGCAAAGTGTAAGCAGGAGCCTCAGCCTCCCGAGGGCCTCCAGCACAGGGCCCGGCTCAGGGAGGGAAGGGGCGGTCTGGGAACCCGAGTCTGCAGTAACGCAACAGGGATGAATCTCCATCTGAGCATGAAGGATTATATGTTTTTTTGTTTTGTTTTGCTTGTTTAGAGTTTTTTGCTACAAAAAGACTTTATTTTTATATTTGGGGGGGGGACAGGGTCTCACTATTGCCCTGGGTAGAGTGCTGTGCTATCATAGCTCACAGCAACTTCAAACTCTTGGGCTCAAATGATCCTCTTGCCTCAGTCTTTTAGGATTATATGGTTTTTTTGTTTGATTTTTGTTTTTGTTTTTGTTTTTTTTTACAGTTTTGGCTGGGGCCAGGCTTAAACCTGCCATCCCTGGTATTTGGGGCCGGTGCCCTACTCCTTCAGCTATAGGCACAACCCAGGATTATAAGTTTTTAAGAGTCTAGTTAAGTCTGGGCGCCTATAGCTCAACTGGCTAAGGCACCAGCCACGTACACCTAAGGTGGCGGGTTCAAATCCCCAGCCCGGACCCGCCAAACAACAATGACGGCTGCAACCAAAAAATAGCCGGGCGTTGTGGTGGGCGCCTGTGGTCCCAGCTACTTGGGAGGCAGAGGCAGGAGACTCGCTTGAGCCCAGGAGTTGGAGGTTGCTGTGAGCTGTAATGCCACGGCACTCTACCCAGGGGGACAGCTTGAGGCTCTGCCTCAAAAAAAAAAAAAAAAAGTCTAGTTAATATTGGAGGCAGATGAAGGCAATAGAATCCGGCTAGTTGTATAGTGTTGATGCCAAGGAAGTCCCTACCTGTCATTGACAGTACTTAGGCTGAAAATGTCTCCCTTGGTCCCAGCAATGAGCAGTGATGATGTAGCCACACTTGGTTGGCCCTATTGCTCAGTTGGCCCCAGCAATGAGTGGTGATCATGCAGCCGCACTTGGTGCACTAAGTGGCCTCCGGCTGGCATCTGAAAATGCTTGGCTGAGAGGAGGAGAAGGCAATATATGTGGGACCAGTTGGGGCCACCTGGTAACTTTAGCCTCAATAGTGACCCCAGATGGGTGCCTGATAGAGGGCCCCACTTACTCAGGCAGGTGACCACACTTGTAGTGGCCTGTTTAGATCCCAGAGGGGGCCCTCTTTTGGGTGTCTTCTCTGCAAACTGTAGTCTCCTACACGCCTCGGAAGCCCCTGGTTTAGGCCGTTGAGGATGCCCTGGGATTCAGGTTGGCCTGCAGGTGCTTTGGCAGCACTCACTAACATCTGAGCTCAGGCTGGCACTCTGGCAGGGGAGCTGTGGAGAGAGCTGAGGGACTCTTGCTGAGACAGCCCCAGCCCTCTGCCACCTTCAGTCCTGACTAGGAAGTCTTTTTCTTCTGCCCCAGTCTCCAGGGACATGTTAGTGCTTTGGGCTTACTCTCAGTTGGGAAAGGAGCTTTTTCCAAAGGATTTTGGGCATGTGAAAGGGCAACTGTGTGGGTCTGTGTGCCACCAGTGAGCACCGCGTGTCTTCCCTTCCTTTCTGGTTCTAGCCACGTCCGTGTTTATCTGTCCCCGCTGGACTCTGGCACGCCCAACACCTACTGCTCCAAAGCTCTGGAATTCCAAGCTCCACTGGTGTGTAATGAGGTTTTCAGAATCCCTGTGCAGCCCAGCATGCTGGTGTTGAAGTCACTCCAGTTGTACGTGTGTTCGGTGAGCCTGCAGCTGCAGGAGGAGCTGCTGGTATGGCCACGCCTTGCCCTCCCCTCCCTTCTCCCTGGTCAGACTTTCTTTGTCTTTCTTTCTCTCTTTCTGTGTCTTTATGCTTTCATCATCCTCTGTTTCCCAGTGTCCCTTTCTTTGTCTTTCTCTCTCTTCTCTTCTGTCCCTGTCTCTGCCCTCCCTTTTTCCCAGGGTGGGTTGCTTAGAAGCTGTCATGATGCTAAGTGATCCCCATAGCCAGGAGCACAAAAGGGGCTACCCAAGCCTGTGACCTCATCAAGTGTTCTGTACTGTTAAATGTCTTCTCTCAACTAATACTTGCAAAACCCCCGTGAGATAGCTTTCATAGTATCCCAGATTTAGTAAATAAAAATGTAGTGCGGTCAGTTAAATTTATATTTCAGATAAATGTTGGATACTTTTAAAGTATATTCCATGTAATATTTGAGACTTAATAATACTTCAAAAAAATCGATCGTTTATTTGAAATTCGAGGTTCCCTAAATGCTCTGTATTTCATCTAGCAGCCCTAGGACTAAGCTCCAGAGAGTCAGCAGTTTGTCCTGGGCACCCAGCCACCCAGTGCCCAGGCCTGCATTTGGGAGCCAGGTGGTTTCTTTCCGTGGTTAGAGTTCTCCCTTTCACCCTGTCCCTCAGCAGCAGGATTGCCAGCTGGGGCGTGCAGTAGCGCTTGCTTATTTCACAAGTCCCTGGGAGAATCAGTGGCTCATCAAGTGGCAGAGCCCTGAGCTTGAGCCAGCTCCAGGGTGCCACCCTGTTAGGATCCTCTGAGACCTCTTTAGTTGCAGTCCTTTTAACAGGAATGAAATATTTTATGTCTTTTTAGATTTAAGGGTGAAATTAGTATTTTCAAGGACTCTAGTGGTTATGGCGAAATCATGTGGTGCCATCCCTGGCTTTTTTGACACCCCTGCAGGGCATTGCTCAGATTAACTTGGCTGATTACGACAGTTCCGGCGACATGCAGCTGCGCTGGCACCCTGTCCAGGTCTTCACCAGCCCAGAGCCCCCACGGACCAGGGAGGAGAGCTCGGCCGAGGACCCTGCCTCTGGCAAGACGGTACTTGGCCCTGCCTTAAGGAGCTACTGCCCTCGTGGCTCTGAGACTGGCTTTTACTTGGGGAAGTCATTCCTGAGAAGTATCTGTGTAGAGTTAAAGTCAGAATGCAGTGGCAATGAAGAAGTTGAGTGTCAGGGGAAGTAATAAGCATGGGACATGTTCTTACACACACCCCTTACATGAGAATGCCTTTTTCATACAAATGGCTGCATGGTCATGGGCCACACATTGGTTACTTTAAATTTGAGCCTGAGAGCTGTAGGAAAGGCTGCATGAATGTCCTGCTGTGAATGGTGAGGCGTGGTGGCCCCCTGCCTGTGGCACTGCTATGGGTCTGGATGCCCTTTTCTCCTGCAGGACGCGGTGACAGCACTGCTGGCTAGGACCACAGCCCAGCTGCAGGCGGTAGAGAGGGAGCTGGCCAAGGAGCGAGTGAGGCTGGAGTGCGCTGAGGAAGAAAGCCTGGAGATGGAGCAGAAGGAAGAGCGGGCTGAGGCCGTGTCAGAGCGGTAAGAGGCAGCCAGGCCACTGTCCTCTCCAGGGCAAAGGCACGTCAACACCCCTGGGGAAAGGCTCTTGACAATAGGCAGGGAGATGAGTGCCAGGTGTTCCTGCTTGTCTCATCCATGCCCCTGATGGATGTGCCAGAAAATTCTTCAGTCCCACTGCCCAGAAGCCAGGATTCTGGTGGGGCATTTAATGCTGATCTGGACGAGGGCAGCACCCGAGCTCTCTCCCAACTTCCGCTTAGGCTTTTTTCCTCTCCCTTCTGTTCTGGAGTTTCTCTTCAGTAGTGGGACTACTGGGTGTCCTCTCTGCCAAGAAAAGATACATTAAGATCCCTTGAAGATACACCTTTACTGATACAATCTGTCTGCCATAGAATTCACCCATTTCAACTGTGTAATTCAATGGTTTTTAGGACAGTCACAGAGAGTACCACCATCACCACAGAGAATCTTAGAGCATTTTCATCACCCCTGAAAGAAAGCCCACACCCGTCAGCGGTCACTCCCACCCCTCTGCCCAGCCCCTGGCAACCACTAATCTGTTTTCTGTCTCTGTGGATTTGCCTGTTCTGGATGTTTCCTCGAGATGGGTGCATGCTTCCCCTGAAGTAGCACATGGGTGAACCCTTGCTATGTGGAGACCTGCATAAAGCGGATGAATAGCTCAGGGGAGCAGGCTCCTCTTGTGACTGGCTTTCTCTCCGGACCACTTTCATGTTTCCCGTAAAGAGCAGCCTCTTTCCAAAGCTTCCTGCTTCTTCCCTGTGACTTTCCTTGAATTTAGGTTAGCGAGGAATGTTATTTTTAGAAGGGATAGTGCATGGTAGAGAGGGAGGGCGTTGTGCTCAGGGGAGGAGAGGAAGTGATTTTCTGGTGTCTTCAACAGCTGTGATTGGTAATAAAGGGAGAGCCTTTTAATGAAAGTCCTTGAAGTGTTGACTTCTCTAGAGCAGAGAAATGCCTTTTTAGTTCATATGAAAAGTAATTGTCATCAGTCATTGGAAAGAAATAGGTTTTATCAGGTGCTTCTACTACCATGCAATGTCCCCCTTCAGGAGTTGGCAGGCGGACTCGGTGGATAGTGGCTGTAGCAACTGCACCCAGACCAGCCCCCCATGCCCAGAGCCCTGTTGTGTTGGTGTCGATGCCATCCTGGGACATGCCTTTGCTGGCCAGGCAGATCCTTACAACCCTGAGAAACGTCAGCCCTTGCCCCTTAAGGTAAGTAGAAAGCGTCGAGGGGTTTCACAGAGTCCCCTGACATTTTGCCATAGGATACCAGGTACCACCTTGGAAGGAGGGGATGGGCAGAAAAGATGCTCTAGAGGACACCTGAGCTGATGGCACATAGACAGGAGGAACACTGTCTGGCCTCCAAACGTGCCCAGTGACTTGGCATTATGACATGGGGGGAAGTCACTGCTGGATTTGGGGACAACAGCTAAGGCCATGTTATACTGAGAATTGAGGAAAAGGAGTGGCCTAAGATCTATGAAGAACTTTTTAAAATGGGCACAGCAGGTACTATAGAGATGTCTGTGCACTTAGATGACAAGGACAGGGCAACATGCCTGTATGTGATGCTATGTTCCTGTCCTAGGAACTTTCCTGAGTCCTAGAGATTTTGGACGCTGGTAGTTACTCTTTCCCCTTTGTGACGTTAAGGTCAGCAAAGCGTGCTTTCCTCTTCTTGTCATCTGATCTTAGTTATGCTCATCACCACATCTTCAGGGAGGAACTCTGTCTCATTCGCAGTGACAAACGTTGGAGCCCAATGAGGCTGGGAGACACTGTACACTGCTCTTTTGACACTTGGTCTCTCAAACTGTTCAGCTCGTAAGAACATTTTGTCACCCTGGCCCCTGCCCTCACCATGAAACACAAAGTAAAATCTGCCTCTCCAAGCTGCAGCCCCTATGGCAGACCTGGAATCATTGTTCAGGACTAGGCTGCCAGTGACTACCCTTGTCCTACTCTTCAAGACCTTGACAAACAGCAGCCCACCTCAGGATGAGTGGCGGTGGAAACCCCTCCCCCCACACACACCATTTTAATTTCAAAAAACTAAATTGTGGCTCAGTGCCTGTAGCATAGTTGTTACAGAGCCAGCCACATACGCCAAGGCTGGCTGGTTTGAACCCAGCACAGGCCAGCTAAATGACAATGACAACTGCAACAAAAAATAGTGGGGCAGGGCTCAACGCCTGTGGTTACTGTGCCAGCTGCGTATACAAGGGTTCTGGGTTCAAACCCGGCCAGGGCCAGCTAAACAACTGCAACCAAAAAATAGCTGGGTATTGTGGTGGGCACCTGTAGTCCCAGCTACTCAGCGGCTGAGGCAAAAGAATCACTTAAGCCCAAGAATTCAAGGTTGCTGTGAGCTGTGGTGCCACAGTACTCTACCGAGGGCAACATAGTGAGACTCTGTCTCAAAAAAAAAAAAACAAAAACCTTAAATCGATGGAAAAGTTACTAGAATAACAAGGAATGCCTGTGTGACCATCACCCAGATGCCCCAGGTGTTACTTCTTTGCCACATTTGCTTTCTTTCTTTCTATGGGCATCACAGGGATCTCTTCACTCTTGGGAGGGAGGCCCAAGTAGCAAGGGTGAGCCCTTAGCTTACAGTAGTGGTTTGTGGTTTACAGTCAGAGGGGCTACGGGGAAGGAAGAGGGGAGGTAAGTGAGGTTCTCATTTTTAGAGGGGCTTGCAATTTTAGAAAGGGATTATACTTACAGATGTAAATTTATATTTAATCTTAGAAAGGTCAGGATTATAAAATTGTGCAACTGCTATTGAAACAGTATAGCAGGTCCTCAGAACATTACAAATAGAACTACCACATGATCCGGCAATCCCACTTCTGGATATGTATCCAAAAGAATTGGAAGCAGAATCTCAAGGAGATATCTACATACCTATTATTCATAGCAGCATTCTTCACAGTAATCAAGAGGGGGAAGCAACTGAAGTGCCCATGGGGGATGAATGGATAAGCACAATGGGATGCCGTACAATGGAGTATGATTTAGCCTTTAATAGGAAATTCTGCGAGTGTCCGGTGGCTTGCCGGTAACTCTATCATTCTGGGAGGCTGAGTCAGGTGGATTGCTTGAGCTCACAAGTTCAAGACCAGCCTGAGCAAGAGCGAGACCTGGTCTCTACTAAAAATAGAAAAACTGAGGCAA